TCCATCAGTCCTGACCATTGCAAAATTGTTTGGAAAGCTGCTACTAACTGGAGTTTTCGGTGATACAATGAAATTATTATGGCTGGTTGCACTTTCAACTAGATGTTTAGATTTGATTCGACATTTTTGTCCATCTATTGAATTAAAAATAATATCCCAGTCAGGGTTGGCATAGCCATGGATGGAATAGGGAAAAACTTACCTGCAGTCACTTATTCTGTGCCTCTTTAGCCATTATCACTATGTGGGTGATGGTGATAATGAAAAGTGTAATATCTAGTGAAATCTAATATTTTCTCTATTCCACCAGCATGAGGAGATAACCATACCCCTCTCCTCTTATGATTTGTTCAGAAGAATGTTTATTTGGGAGAAGTTTATCTTCAAACCTAGCCCTTCTACTATGGATACTGACCAGATTTAGTTGTTCACTTAATGTGCTGACCCCGACTGTTTATGGAATCAGGCCAATCATTTGAAAGACTGGAGAAGAGAAAAGGACTGGTTCTAACCTGTTGACTTTTCTAGTTAGCTTATATCAATCCAAAGCAAAGGCATATCAGTTTCAAATGGCTACTGAAGCAGTTCTTCTGTGAAATTGGAAAGCTTGGTGTAACTGAAGTATTTTATTTACCTGAGGGGAAGATTATGGTGTTTTTTTTCAAATAATTACCTGTGAATTGGGATAAGGAGGATGTGGAGTTGGAAAGGGATGGATGTCAAAGCTAAAATGTATGCCTCAGGTGTTGCTTGCCTGTTGAATATAATCCTTTTTGTAATAATTGAATATGCTCTTCTTCTCATTCAGTTCATTTATCAAGTTTTGTTCTTTATACTTTTCTTCCCAGTACAGCTAAGCCAGTCGCTTCTTCTAGCTACATCTTGGTTTTATTTCCTTCTTTTGCTGTTTCTTCTTGAAGATGGGAATAGATTGTGTGAATAAGAGAGATTATAAGTATAACATTCTATGTGGGTGGAGATTAACTTTATAAAGTTATCTTATCACAATAGTTTTTATGTTTTATTTATTTTGGTGGGACTGTTCTTTCTTTTGGAGGGTACCTTTTGGTATATATATGTATGTATTGGGATTTTGGTGAGAAACAAACTGGCAACAATACTGAAAAGAGAAAGAATTTGGGGACTGCTCAGGATTTTTGTGCTTGCTATTTTTATTCACTATTCCTTTTTATGATGAATGTTACCTTAAATTTAACATAATCTTCCTTTCAAGTAAATATGATATATACTGTCTCCTGTATTTTAAATTTTAGTTTGCAAACTTTTTTCAGGGAAGGGGGTTATCCCTTTATACTTTGATAAATACTATGGTCAAAAACTACTCTTTATGGCATTGTTATTATGGCATTACGCTTTATGGCATATTAAATAATATCTTGGCTAATGCATATAAACTTCTGAAAAATCATACTTACACCTATGCTAAACAACTTTTAAAATACTAGGGCTTGCACTGCTAGAATAACAGTAAGTTGGTTCTAGAGTTGGTTGGTTCTAGAGTGACAAAAGTACAATTCCTACAGTAATGGAAAGATGGTTTGTCACTTCCCTTCTCAATTTGGCCCCCAAAGTTGGACTAGCCAGGTTTATATCTAGTAAAACATTTTTGGTGACCAGTACAGAGAAAATGAAATTTGAAAAGTCCATATCAATGTTTAATGTTAACATGGTTCTCTTTGTTATCAGGTACTAGTAGGATTCTGAACTAGAAGATGTCTTCTCAAAGCTGTCATAATACTTTGTTCCTGAAAGATATATTAGACAATGGATTTCTGATCAGTGCTTCCAGCAATAGCAACTCTCCAGGTAGCAGCTTATTTCTGGACATGAATAGTGCTCCCAAATCAGAAGTGTGGGACAGTAAAGAGAGTACTCTAAATGTCAAGGTTACAGAATCTTCTTCAGCTGGTATGAAGGGAGAGCTGCAAACTTCGTGTGACAGTGGAACATCTTTTTGTAAAACTCCATTCCAATCATCTGCCTTTGACTTGTCTAATTTAAGTTCTGCTAATAACAACAAAGCAAATTCCTTAGTGAACACATTCCATGATACTAAGTCATCTACACCATGCAGAGAAGACAAGGCCTCTGTACTAACTGAACACATGGTATTAAAAAGTTCTGAAATGAATGATTTTGTGGTCTTCAAAAAGCCACTTCCCCCACCAATATGGGAGATTTCTGGAATACAAGCCACTGTGGATAATTCTCTGTGTCTTGAAGCAAGCTTAGAAGATACTGGCTCTCTGGGTTGCATGAAAACAGATACTCCTTCTCTGGAGATGTCACATTTTGCTATGCCGCCTGATCCATCTATGAAGCCAGCTGATGCTTTTCTTGCTGTCCTTTCTGCTGACAAGTGAGCCATTTAAAAAAAAAATAGTCTGATAAAATATTGTGCCACAAAGACATTAACTGAAAATGACTTCATTCTTTTACATTTAAGGATCTGTGCATGGTAGCAAATAATTTAATTTAGTAATTGAGCACCCAAATTTAGAAATGAAAGCCAGATTTATCGAAAAATGCAAAACAACTATCTTACAATATAGCCTTTTTGCCATTCTCTGTGCATACCACTGAATGACTTCTTCCACTATAGTTGTTATGAAGTGTTGAAATATGAGCAATGAGCTATGGAAAACATTGGTGTAAAAAACAGCTTCAATCTTAATCAGGTGAAATATTACTTCATATGCATTAGTAGCAAATCTGTTGTCTAGTCTTTGTGGGGGTTAATTTTGGGATTGTTGGTTGAAATCTGAATAAAAAATATCTTGCTATTCCACAGACTGGGTTGAGAGGCCAGTACATGTAGTCCTTACGTTTACTCTTAGCAATCACTGGAACTAAATCCAGGAATCTCAGCTGTGAATAATAGCTTATCTCAGTAATGGCTTTGGAACAATTTTTATTGCAGTAAATAATTCTCAAAACTGGCCTTATCCTGATTATTAGCAAGCAATCCAAAAAAACTTTTAGCTAAAGGAATATGTTAAGACAGATCACACATTATCCTTGGCCACAACGTGGTTTGATGTAGCACAATACATGGACCTAATTGTGGATTAATGAATAAATTATGATTCACATTGTATGAACTGTTACTGCTAAAGGGGTAGCAAACTAAATATTTTCTTAGGCTTCAGAGATTCGAGGCTGTTAGACAGTTCATATGAGGTTCTTTATGGGAGGAAAGGGCAAGCGTGTAGAGAGAAATAAAAGTACAAGGGGTATCAATGTTTGCTTTGTAACCCATTGAATTAAAATAGACTCTTAAATCCACGTACAATTATTAAATTGGATTAGCCTAGTAATAGGACAGTTATAACAGGTTCCTCTTTTTTCTTATACTTTTGGCAACATGGATCACTTGATGACATTGTCAAAACAGAATTTGTTTATAGTGTACAAAGATATATGGGGATCTTTACGCTTGCTGGAAACCTAAACCAAAAACTGCCTTTTGCAGGAAGCAGAATGCAGACCTTTGTACAAAGTTTTTTCCCCCTGCTTGTCCACCTATCAGTAGTATGAGTTGTTTCCATTTCCTTGAAATAAGTTGTTACAGGAGGCTGGGCAGGAATACATGAAATTAAGACTATACCTTGTTTCTATAAATAAAGTTACCAAATAGAACAAAAGCACTGCTTATGTGTGGAAATTAGTTTTATTTCTTTCCTCTGAAATTAAATCAGCTATTGCCACTATCAAAGTCAATGCTGAATTTTAATACTTTTTGTTGTGCTGAGAAATTGGCCACATTAGTTGCTTACTGTTCTGCTTTTCAAAAGCATGGTATAACCCAACTGCTTGTTTTTCTATCAACACTGAAAAATCATCTTAGGTAGTTCCTTGACCTCACATGAATTGTGCTTAACCTGTTTTAACTGACCTCCTCATTCTAACTCAAAATGAGAATATCCTTGATCCATTTTTAACCATCACTTAAGACACAAATTTTAATACAGCTATCTCTACAGCTAAACTACTTAAAGGTCTTTCTGATCATGAATGGCCGAACAGACTTCCCTCATCCAAAGCTGAACCTGAAGAGACCTTTAAGACCTAATTCATGGAATTCCATCTGTTTCATATCTAGATCTTGCAATATAATCTTGCAATAGTAATCACTGTCACACATTTTCCTAGCCACACATTTTATTTGAATTAGGTTTAATATATTGTATGATCCTAGGTGGCGAACCTATGGCATGGGTGCCAAAGGCGGCACTCAGAGCCATCTCTGTGGGCATGCGCGCCGTCGCCCCAGTCCTAGGCTTTCAGCTGGGTTTTATAAAACCTTTTCGCTTTAGGCCTCTGCCGCCATGTGCAAAAAAAAAAAAAAGGTTCAGTCAATTTCAACTTCTCGCGGGGAAAAAAAAAGATCTTGCAAAGTTGGAATTCATTGATTGAACTTTTTAGTCCCACCAAGTCTGCCGTTACCATCACAGCCACGCCCACCCAATGGGCCACGCCCACCCAATGGGCCACACCCAGCCGGCACTCGACGCTGCATAAGTGGGTTTTGGGTTGCAGTTTGGGCACTCAGTCTCTAAAAGGTTCGCCATCACTGTCCTAGGAGATAGTGTTTTAGTTAAACATTGTTTGAAAGAAACCATGGCAAACAAAGCATGATGTATGAATCCCAAGTATTGGTGCAGCATACCTTCATAGATTTGTAAGAAATAGCAATGAAATTGTTTACAATAATGTAGTCTGGTTATTAATGCTTTAGTCTGAATTAAATGTAAGAGTAAAATTTATTAAATATTTTTTTCCAAAGATAGATATTATAAGGCCTCGTATGCAAATTGGGCAGCTCTGTGACAATTCCCATTTTACTTATTTTTATACAAATAGGTCTCATTATACATATTTATATTGCTCAGAAGCATCTGTAGAGAACAAAGTAATCAGAAACAAGAATTTCAAATTGTACAAATGATTTATTTAAAAACACATTAAATATACAATTATATATATATATATAATTATTGCCTCTAAGAGTTTCTTATTCAAATTTTTAGACTATCTTCATATTTACAACATAGTGTAGGTATAGATAATTGGCAGATAACAGTCAGTAATCATGTGCTTGTTCAATAAATTATAATTCCTCTTCTCCCAAAAAGGAGACATTGTTTATGCTTTGGATTGTTCAGAAACCACCCTGGAATCCAACTTCACTTGTATCTATATCATGTTCCTTTAAGAAGAGAGAGAAAAAATAAAGTACATCATACATCATCCCGGACTCTCCATTCCCAGTTTTTAAAATTTTAAAGATATCATTAGAAAATATTTTTATTATCTGAAATTGACTTTAGTAAACAAGAATATTCAGAGATACTTCATCAGTAATTCAGCTCATCCTATTAACTACCTAACTTTGTTTTTTCTCTGTATTGTACTGCCTCTAAAATTTTGGATATTCCCTAGTCATATAAATCAATGTACATAGAACTATTCTCAGGAATACTGCAGTATGGCATTTGCTTTTTAAAGAGAGAATAACCTTCACAAGGAGACCCTGGAGAGATTGGGCACTTCACATAACACTAGCCACTTCTGCATATATCATATAAAAATACTGGTACAGACTGTACTTTGTGTAGTGTACGGCTGTTTTCATAGCTCTAGAGCTATATTATATTATGTTCAGTTGTGAAATACTTCATGAAAACAACTTGAAATGTTCTGAGATAACCAGGCCTAAATATAAACACAAAATGATTAAGAAATTAGATGTATCTTGCAGGTTTTCTCAAATCATCATCTCCCTCTTTTAAGAGATAATCTTAATGTGTTCAACAAAACTAAAATCTAATCAGCTTATTTATATCTAATATGCAGTCACAAATAAAAAAGGCAATCTGGTTTATGCATAAAAGTTAGATCTAAAATTTGAAGAGGAAGGAAAAAATACATAAATGCAGTCTATATGGGAGCATCACTACATTCATGCATATGCAACTTTATTTGGGCCACATAATTTTAAATAGAGCTGAACTACAAAAAGAAATACGGCCACTTACAATGATTTGAAAAATCAGCAAAAAGCAAAATGTATTTTAATTCCCACATACTCAGTGATCACCATCCCTGCACATCTTCCCAATAAGGTTTAAATAAACCATAAAATATCTCCTGGACATACTTATACACTCACACACACACCTACACACAACATACAGTTATTTGGGGGTGGGGTGGGGACAATATTGGGTCAATATAAATATTGTATGATAATAATAATATAGCAATTATAACAATTATTATAACAGTATAAATATTGTTAATATTGTGACCCAATATTGTTTATATATGGGTCACAGATCCTAAGGAGATGGATATTGTTGACCCACTGGCTACAAGTTAAAGATTTAGATCATAAATTGCTGTTTTATAGAAGCAACAATGCATAATTATTTTTACCTTAACAAATTATCCAGTAAGTATTATTTCAACATTCATAATTTAAAATCAATCTATGATTTTATTATGCTACTTCCAAACTAGCATGCAAAGATCTAGAAGATATCCACTTTCCCAACAATATAATTTTATATTTTCCTGTCATTAATTGGACTGAACACCCCATTGTTAAGTGACATGGTCTTAAGTTGAAAAGCCATTGTCCACACCACTTAGCAATGGCAGTTTTGGCAGTCTCAGTTGTAAAGTGAGGACTACATGGGTCACATGACCACAACTTACGATTTTCCAGCAACTTCCCCATTGACTTTCACAAATCTGACCCACTGAAGGTCACAAATCACAATCACATAACTGTGGGATGCTTTAAAGTCATAGCTGCGAACCAGGTGCCAAGACTGCGATCATGAGTAGTAATTTACCATTGATCCTTGTACTTATGACATGGTGGCCATAAGTACAAGGATCAATGATAACTACTACTCATTCAGCACCATCATATGTTTGAATGGTTGCTGAACAGTTGTCATTAAATGAGAACTATCTGTAAAACCATTATATATGTCTAGAAGGAAAATGTTCAGTAATTACTTGATTTAGCTTCTTGAACTCCACCACTTGAAAGAAAATATGCTCCAGTATATGCTTGGCATCTTGCTGTTCCTTTGGCAGTTTATTAGTTACCCCAAGAATATCACCACATTTTCTGACATAGAATTCCAGATCATCTTCAGTACCTGATAAAATACAGAGAAGTATGGCTACACATACATGCAAATATTATCTGGAGCCATGGTACCTATTTCTGTAAAGAATTTATAACACCTCATCTTCTAAAGAGCATAAGAAAAGTAGTTTGAAGCATCTGTTTTATAACTGATAAAAACATTGTCACAATTATATGTGAAAGAAATAGTTAACATCAACTATGGTTTTTTCATATAAAACAGTAAGTGTTATCTGTCATTCCATCCAAAGTTCACACATTTGTTGCTTTGAGCAACAGGTCTATTTATAAGCAATAATAGCAATAATTGGTAAACTGAAATTGTTATTAAAATTTCTGGCTGAAAGGCATTCTGAAAGGATGAAAAGCAAATGAGTTTTATAAAATTCAATAGAGCCTAAATAATCTGATATATTTCAACCGATTTTCAACCACTCTCTTTAAGTTATGGACTTTGATATAATAGCAAATTATTAAATATTTTATAACTATTATTTAACTGAAGCAACATCAGCAATCTGTCATATTTTGCATACAAAACTATTTTTAAAACTTATTGCTTATGAGTTTGTTGAACAAATTCATTTGTACAACTGAAAAATAAACCAGAGGATTTAATGGAATGTCATAATGAAATATATTTTCTTCTATTGTATTCATTACATATAAGTAATAATAGGCACTTCCAATATAGTAGACAATCTCTGTTTCAAACACATTGGATAATTTTATTTTGTTTATAACACTAAATCATATGTTACCATAACTTTGCATGAGTTTTCTCTAAACAACAATAATCTACCTTTATTCTACAGATTTTTCTATTATCACAGAAATATTGCCCCAATATTCTATAATCATTTACTCATATAGCGCCTCATTATTCCAGTTTACTTTCATATTTTAAAAGCAACTCATGACCAAATAATTCCATTTATTTTTAAAATCATGAGAATGTTAGTGGAAATATAGTTAAGTTTAAAAATGAATTAAAATATATGCCTTAAAAGTAACACTACCAAGATTTAATAGAAGTCTTGATAGATGTTAAGAAATTATGTGAAACAATTAAAAATCACTTTGCTAGAGATTTAAAAGAGTACTTTAACCCAAAAGCCAATATGAGATGGTACACTGATTGCAGCAGCAGATGTACACATACTAATACTTCACATTTTTCTTCAATAGGTGGTCTAGTTACAATACTTCTGATCATCTTAAAAGCCCAAAGTGGTCTAACAACTCTGTTGATCTCTCTAAAAGTAAAGATAACAGAGATTTCCATGGGGAAAGTCTCTCTCTCCTGATCAAGAATTTATGACTTTGTTCATCGTGCTTTCTTCTCCAACTGCAAGATTTTGAAAATGGATTTTTTTTGTATCAATTATAGCAATCCTAAAATATAGGATCCCTAAAATAAAATGCCAAAATAATGGGTTCAAAATTACTTCTATCATAAACCCAGACATGGAGAAATTGTTCTTTGGATATTCACTATTTCTAAATTAACACTTCTAGAGAAAATAATTAAAAAAGTACAGATCCAAATTAAGCCAACCTTAGTTTGAAATCAAAGCCTACTGTGGAGGATTCAAGTTGCCGAAGTACTCAACCCTTCAGCAAATTAGCTTAGCAACCTCACCGCAAATGTTTGAACTACTCACACTTGTTTGTTATTTGGGCAAGTCGAGCTTTCTCAGAAGAAAAGGTTTCATCCAAATCAAACAAGTCCAGGCTGGGAGGAGGCAACTCTCTGAAGGCTGGTGGAAAAACCTAATAGCAAAAAAGGAAACAAACATGTCTGATTTGTCCTTATTTATTCTAAAGGAATATTGGTGTAGGATACTAATCAAACCATTTTAATATGCTTGAGAAAGCTATCAGCTGTTCTATTTATAACTTATTCAAAATATCTATTTCTGTTACCCTTTATCTGAAATTTTAGCCTTTCCCTCAAACACTTGATTCACCTTTGCTACATCTTTACAAAAGCTGGAAGTATGGAAATTGTTGAGTAGACTGAGCACGAGTACAACAAGATTCAGAGACACTCTGAACAAATGGGACTATCTAGTGGCTTCTGCCCTTGTGGTTATGGTGACATGCAGACAACACATATGTATACCTGCCCTTTGTGTCCTGATAAAGTACACTTGAGTGACAGAACATAATTAATGTTGTTAGTTTCTGGACAAGATCTGTTTCACTTTACATATTTTATTGTATTTTATATTTTATATCATATAGTAATCCTTATTTTAATTGTGATGCTTCTGACACGAATAAACAAACTTTTACTACAGGTATTCCTATGTCTTATAATGTGCTTCCTATCTATCTTTTGTAATACTCATCTCTTAATTTAATGGATGTACTCTGGCTACTTAATTATTTGTTTGCCTATGGATCAAATCTTATATACAGAATCAAAATACTTATTTTCTCTATACATGTATTTTACTATAGTAACAACAAATGACCCTATTACTCACTGCTGGCTGGAGTGCAGGTAATGGTGTTTCAAACTGTGGCTGAATTAGCTGAAGTGGTTCATATTTCACATTCAACTGTTCATAAGACCTGTAGAATAAAGTTAGCTTTCATGATCTGATAATAAATGTAAAATATCAAATTGACAATACAGAATATAATATTACTGAAGGTATACTCCTAAACACAACCACGAGGAAGTACATTCTATAGAACTGAATGCGGGCAACTTTAACTGAGCTTAAGAGTACGCTATAAAAACCCACTTCACAGAAGGTTAATACTTTGACACGTACAATTCAAAGTATTCCTAAAACACTTAGATTCTGATGCAAAACCAGAAACTTATATAGAATTTGAGCAGTGTAGCCCAGAAATGATCATCCTTAGAACAAATATAGTATCAAGCAACAGACTAATGAATCACCAATAGGAACTTTTGGTTTTAAAAAAGGTACAACTAATTCTGAGACAGATGTATAAACAAAGAAGAGACTGCTGTGCTACTTGCTGCACTGAGGAAAAATTGGTATTGGTGCAACAAGTAGCACAACAAGAAGACCCCTAGATCCAGGACTCTTTCTCACAACTCTGCTCAGAAATACAGTATTCTACACAGAGGAGAAAAAGATATAAACTTTCATGGCTGCAGCCCATTATTGTTTGCTTCCCTTTCTGGATCTGAGATGATATAGCTCAACATTCATAATCTTAAAAAAAATTCTGGTGCATACATGGAAGTCCATTAACTTATTTGCTTGCTTTCTTGAGAGTTTTCTGTATATTACTACAATTTTTATTACCACCTGTCCAAAATAGACCACAATTATAGATACATTGTAGATTTTAGATTTCTATGGCAATGCTTGCAATATTTAAATCCAAGCATCTTATAGCTAATGTTCAATCCCTAAAATGCAGGGAGTATAATTTGTTATTATGTTTTTTAAGAATAAGGTATTATTTTAAGAATAACAAATACTCTCAGATGCTGACTTAATAATTTTGGGAAGTGCTGTAGTATCTAGTTGGTAAATAGACATATCAAACAGTGTTGTAAAATCTCGTGGATTCTCATCTCCTTCTTGCAGACAAACTCGTAATCGTTCTGACAAAGTGGCTATATCAGGAAGCATTGTATAATCAGAAATCTGAAAAAAAAGAGCAAAGTAATAGCTGGGATTTAAAAAATGGGTGTTAAGATATTTACATACCTTAATATACAATTAAGATATGTAAATATAAAATAAGTCTATTTTAATTTCTTGTCAAAATGCTATAACTTAGCAGTATGCAGGTAGTCCTAGACTTACATCCACAACTGGGACCAGAATATCTGTTGTTAAACAAGGCAGTTGTTAAGTGAAGGGCACCCAATTTTACACTCTTTTTTTCCATAGATGTTAAGCAAATCACTGCAATTTTTTAGTGAATCACATGGTCATGAAGCAAATCCACATTCCCCATTGATTATGCTTCTTTGAAGATCACTGGGAAGGTTACAAATGGCAAATCACATAGCCCTGGGACACTGCAACCATTGTAATTACATCTTGGTTGCCAAGTGCCCAAATTTTGACCATATGACTGTGGGGATGCTGCAACGGTCCTGGTTGAAAATCACTTTTTTCAATGCTAGAGAACTTCAAATGGTTACTAAACAACTGATTGCAATTTGAGGACTACCTGTAATTCAAAACCAATCTGCTCCATCTTCAGATTATGAGCAAATACATCTCTTAATGCAAAACTTTTGAATAACAAACTGCTTTAAATAACAAAATATTTTGGTCAGAATATACTTGTGTTAACACTGATTTTAAAATTATTTTACTTTTTGTTGTGAAATCCAACTTGGAAGGGCGATAGTGAAAGGAAAGCATTGAACATTAAGTGAGATAAAGTACAATCATATATTTTGCTTAATCAAATAAAACTTTTTACTTAAACTGTGACAAGTTATTAATCAGGCTAAATACTTTTGGGAATCTGACAATATATTTTCAATATAATCTAAATGTCAAAGTTCATAACAAATTATTGAAACTTTGGACATGGTAATTATAATATTTCAATAGGGAATGGCATGATTCTCCCAGCTATAAAAAATTTGAAGCTATCCAACATGCCCTGTATACTGATCCTATTTTAAGTATATAAAAATAGGAAAGGACATACATGTGATTCAAAATTTCATTCTGAAGCATAGTTTTGCCCTTGGTAGTATGGCTAGAGCTTAGTCAGAGAAAAAAATATGTTTTCATTATATGCCATAGAGTAATGCTGCACAGGACAAAACTGAATACAGGGATAACACCTCCATTCTGAAATTTTCATGGGGGGAAAAAATTATTGAGACACTTTAGCACAAACATGTCTAGATGGATTCTTGTTGAGAGAAGATGTATTTTTTGAACAAGCAGCTCATGTTCTAGAAGTCTTCTGACAATTTGCCGTTGCATAATCTCATCTGCTACTGTATATTTCATAATTGTTTAAATTTTTAGATATATCATGGCCCCAATAATTATTTTAAAAGGCTTTTTGTTAAAACATTAACAATGTTAGATTAATGCCACTATTTTTTAAAGATTTAGAATTATACCAGAAGAGAAATTGCCTCTATGAACAATATGTTGTTGAGTTTTCTAAGACAAATGCCTGAAATCATCTATTCTAAAATAGTTGTATGTTTTTTGTAATTAAACAATCATCCAATAGATGACTTAATGTTAAGTCATTCAAATACTGAAGGAACTCTAAACCCCATGCCAATTATGTTATCCTAAAAGCACAAAAATCAGTGTCAAATCTCCATTTTTTTTCATTTCTTCAAAGGAATTCAATTTGCATCTGCAGTGCTCAAAGTTTTTTATGGACAAGGCCCATATTGAATTTCTCTTTGGAGCTCAGATGAGCTCATTCACGTCATTTTCCTCAAAATGGGCACAGTCCCAATTTCCAAGGACCATCTTCCAAGCCTCCCATTGCATTCCTAATATGGTACTGCACAGTAAAGTTCAATATTATTATATTATTAAAGCATTGACTTGGACATTTTCTGACTGGCTTAAGTTAGTCTTCTTTCCCACTGGTCTGGCTGCTCTAATTCTAGTTGAGAACTTTAATTCCTCTTGGAACCAAGTATTCTGTGAGAAACTAAAATGCTTTGGGTTTTCAAGGGCTCTGAATAAGTACTATCCACTCTTAAGTAGCCTGGTCTCGATTTAAATAATTACCTATTATCTTTGTTTGTGTTTCTGAGCAGATTTACTCATCTATTCTGCCCAGTAAAGTACTTCAACCAAGTAACAGACCCACATTCAGAAGAGTTTTTCTTTGATCGAAGTTAATGTCCTCCCAACAGTGTTACTGAAGGGAGATATTGACATGTTCAGCTTGAGGAAAAGTTGTACTCCTGCAGTGGAGGAACAATTCACATGATGAATCATGTTGTTCTGCATTACTTCTACTAAGATAAAGCTCGGCAGGAGTTGCTATTTCCATCCATTCTTCCAGCTGTTATGATCAGTTCAGCCTGACTCCATCTCACAGAATGTTGCTAAGTATATTGTTCTACTGTCTGCACAATATCCCTCAATCTGTCTTTAGGCAGTTCTTGCAACCTCCTTGTTGATTCTGCTGATCACTTATTTTAAAGAATTATGGTTAGAGATAAACGTAGTTATTTGTCTAGCTGATCATTTATACTTATTATGTTTTAATTAGCCTTTGAAATCTTCCTTTTATTTAGGAATTATATTTTTACCTGAAATGTATTCATTACATTTATAGCCTTGATTTCTTTAAGGCTTAGAATTACACTAAAAAGAAAATCACATGTAAGTACGATATGTTGCACTAATGTTTTAACTGTAATATTAAATTCCAAATATTTATCTGAAAATAAAGAATTATAGTTTGTCCTTCAAACTTATGTTTATGACAAAAGTGATCTATCATTTCCATTACATGATGCCTTATGAATTTGTAATATTTTTATAACAACGTATGGTTTGTGCAATAAAGCTTATGTACATCAACACATACACATATACACTTACTTCTGGATCTTCTGCATCTATCTGATTTAAGTGAATGTCGTTTGTTGTAAGCCACTGGAAAAGTACTTCCTAAGAAACCACATAAATTTGTTACATTTGTAAGGTATTTAAGCAAACAACTATTATTAAAAACCTGGCCCCACAAGTCAACTCCTTTATCTCTGTGAAAGTACCATTAATGGGCTTTAAAACGTTTTTAATATATTAGTGAATTAGCCTAGGAATCAAGTATTAAGTGTTTAAAATTACTTGAATTGCCTGAAAAATATTGTATCTGCATAAAATGCATTCTCCCCAATTAAAGTAACTGTAATGGTCAAGGAGCAAAGAAAAATGGTTTTCAGAGAAAAAATGTAATACAAAAATTGGCTGGCTTAGCATCAGTATATCAAAAAAGAACAAGAATATATTTGATTGAAGCAGCATATAAGTCCCATAAATTCATGCATGCGTGCATAAACACATAATAAATAAAGGTCTGAAGAAAAGGATAAAGCAGCAAACCTTTCTACTTGCATTGGTTTAAGTAGGTCCACTGTGTTACATTGAGCTTCCAGAAAAAAATTACCAATCTTTCATTTGAAAAGACATAACATTATAAGATTAAACAATGACTCACCATGATTTTGGTATTTTCTTCTTTTTCCAAATACTGATCACTGAACATATGACATGATCCCAATACTGCTAATTTGCCACCTTGAGTCTATCAAATAATAAATGTAGGACAGCACATGTATGAACCATATTTATCTAAGGGAACATCAAAAACATGCTATCTAGATTAAGTTAATTCAATTTTAAAAGTCAGGTATATTTTTTATAACATGTAGATGATATAATAAAGAGAACTACTAATCAACATAGAGATCTGAACAATTGCTGGTTATTGTGATATTATTAACATTAACATCACTTTGTTAGCAAAGATTAATCAAGATTTAAAGCACCACTTTTAAGTTTACTTTTCTTGAGCCAATAAAAAATTCAAAAGTATGAACAAAGATTCCATATTTTCTTGTTCGTTTTAACTGATCTGAGAAACAGACAATAGATAACACCATAAAATAGGCATATTAGATTTTTTTAAAAATAATCCTGCAACACTCACTTCAGTTACACACACACACACAAATGTGTAATACTACATCTCTCTCCCTCTTTCTTTCTCTCTCTCTCATACACACACACTCCTGTGTCTGTATTCTGACCTGGTTGACTGCAAATAGCTGACATCTAGGCCTCGAGATTAGATCTAGATTTTAATAATAATGATAATCACTATACTGTATTTTTATCAGGCAAAAGCTATCAGAACCACTTCTGAATAGTTTCAAACAAAAATATTATTGCTAATGCTCTATGCTACAAGAATCTCACCTGACTGACTGCATTCCCTAGGGAACAGTTAAGATAAGGCTTCAAGGATTCTGGAGCTGGTCAGGCCTGTGCCACTTTCTGCAGTGCAAAGACTCTAAACTCGGCTCCTTCTTAACACCTCCCTTCAGTTTAGCAGGAGATTCCACGACAACTTTACATTAAAGTGTTTTAATAATAGCAATATCTATTTCTAACAATTGCTAAACCAGATGGGGAAGGGAATAGGATTGTCATACTATTTTGAAATGGCAAAATAGAGAGGAAATATAATTTATAATAAAGAACTAAAGTTGGACAGAAGTTGTAACTCCGTAACACACCTTGTAAGGATAAAAAGCCAATATGGGTCTATTAAGAGGAAAACAGACAGAGCCTGTAGACAGAACAGCCACTGCAGGTTTCATCACATTTAATGTAGCACCAAACGGATATACAAACGTGAGAGCCCTGGAAAAAGGATGCAAAGAATGTCATAGCCAATTTTAAAATGTTGCAGCATTGTGCATTTCCAGATACAATATACTATAGCAATACTTCCCTATAACAAACTGTTCTCTCACTTAAAAAAAATAGCATGTGCAATGTAGCATACAAGATACTTACTGTGAATCATTTCCACCAGTATCTTCATCTATTATCCCAGTCACTGTTTTTCCTGCAGCTCTGCTGATTTCCCTTATTGGGGGGAAATACAAAATCAACTGAGATTAATATTTTATAATACAGTAATTTAAATAAAATTTGCCTGCAATGACCTATTATCCACAAAGGACTTACCGATTTAAAACTCCATTAGACACCAAGGCTTCTTTAGGATGGAAATATTTATAATACACATTTCTCACCACAGAATCTTAAAAGAAAAAAAAATGAAGTGCAATGCTTCAAGATAGAGATTCCATTTCATGACCATAATTAATTCTATTTCAAATCATGAATATGTTCAAGGATGGATATACAATTCTAGCAAAGTAAAAATATGCAGTCAAAATAAATGAGAGAAGTGTAGTGGCACAGGCACTCTCTTTAGTGGCCCATTTAATAGCTGTCTTTTGTTGCTTTCATGCTCTGGGCAGCTACTGTAACAAACATGCTGCAGCTTGGCATGCTATTCACTATAAACCAAGGCCTTCTGTTATCTCACACTGGAGCATATATGTATGGAGCATGGAATAGGTAGCAGGAAAGTTACAGCACAAATAGAATAGTTGTAGCAAATAAAGGCAGTATGGCAGAGTATGTTTAACTAAAAATCATACTTACTCTCTGTCCAATTACAGTGTAGGAGTGCAACCATAACAAATATGACATTTTCAGATATCAACTTAATATTTATTCAGATGTCAACTTATTTATTCCTTTATTTAATACATTTATTTCCTGCTCCCTATATTTATGTTTGTTTGTTTGTTTGTTTGATTCATTCATTCATTTCTAAAACTTATCTAACTACCTGAAGTCAATCAGATTCTAGGCAGCTTATAGAAATCGTTAAAAATACCCCAAAATTAAATTATAATATACAAAACTAAATATGTACAATTAAGAAGCATCATCACAGTATATCATACAGTGCCATCTCTAAATGGTTTACCACAACATAAAAGAAAACAGACAACAAATTGAAATAATATAAAAACAATGCAATGAAAAGGGGGTATGGGGAAAACAAAATCAAAACATAAAAATCACATACAGATAGTTATGTTCTTGTACAGGATTATTTCCAAAATCAACAGACATTAATAAAAAGGCTTCTGAAATCTACAACCAAAATTGTCTTTCTTTTTTAGACTAACATTATTAGTCTGGATGTGAAAATATAAAAGATGTTGAAATAGATATTGAGTTGTAATTTGTTTTCTATTTTGAACTAAGAATTTGGATACATTTTGAAAACTGTAAAAGTAGCAATCCTTTTTTTCATGTCATTTATTACCATTATTGACCATGATTCCGAACTCTTCTAATAAGAAATTGATGTTAGTATCGTAACGAGATTCACCACCTTCTCCCAGCATCACCAAGATATTCCCACCACTTTCTAGATATTTTTTCAGAACTTCAAACTGAGAAGGAAAAAAAGGCAGAAAAAACTAGTCTTATTGATAGAAAATTGATTTCATACTTTTTTCTTATTCAAGTTGCCACTTGAATATTAAGACAGTCTACATGAGTTGTAATATTTATATTTTTAATATTTCCAAAGTCCCATTTCCCATTTAAAACATATATCTGTTTTTAATAAAAAAATGATCAGATTAATCCTACAATTTTATTATATTTTAAAAAGTCAAATAGGAATTTATAAGCTAATAAAAAAATGTTTCTTGGCGCATAGCAAAATATGCACATAGCCCTTTCTTCTTTATCATTCTGTTTATCTAACAAAATATAAATCTTACGATTAATATTTGAGTTCTTCTCAATATTTAAGATATAATTAACCCATGGATAATAAACAGATAACATATTTAAAGCTAGCACATACTTCAGCAGCTGTAAACTTTTCTCTGGGTCCGGAAGTAATCCACAGTTTTACTCCTGAAAGTTTCTCTGAAGTGATTTCATCTTTTAAGCTAGGAATGAGTAAACAAGAAATCTTACTCCACCATTTAAAAAATAAAAAAAGAAATGCAATCTGTTTTAAGGAAAATTTTATGGCATGTATATTGGTTTATCAGATATATATCAGAAAAAAATATAGATTTCAAAAAACACATAAAATACTATGAATTCCACATACCTCTGTATTTTCCAGTTACCACGAAGTTTTTTTTGTAAAATTCTGTAACCACTGTTCATAGTAAAAATTTCCTTTTTGGAAGCATTGAAGATAATAATATTTCGAAGCTCTCCCTCCATAATTATCTTAAAGATGAAAAAGTACAATTACATAAACAAAGAGTAAATGTTATAAATATCAATTATTGTATATTGTCTATAGCTTAATATGCAGTATAGTATTTTTTAAAAAACAAGATTAAATTTGTTATCTTGCTTATAGCAATTCTAAAAACAATATTATTAGGCGCCCAGAATCACTTACTTGAGACAGGGAGTCATATATATTCAACAAACAAATGAAATTATGAGAGTAAAATTGATCTAAAATTTATAACAAATAGTAGTTAACATTCATAATATTTTCAATTATATTTCCTCCCTAAAACACTATATTTACATAACATATCCTCAAAGTCCTGCTGTTAAGGGAACCGAGTATGCATATGATTTGAAAGTGGCACGTTCAGAATTAGGATATCCAAAATTCTAATGTTAGGGGTTCAGTTTGAAATACATCCTTATTGCCCTTTGAAATTTTCCTTTTGGGGGAGGGAGGACAGAAAGAAAGGTGCAAAAACTCCTATTGCTATATAATTTACAAGAGATGAAGAATTAAAAATTCCTCTGTTTAAAGCAAAAAGCAACTTCCTTTTAAGCAAATGAAAAAACTTTATTTAAATATCATTTTTCCAGACATTCCACCAAGTAATGAACAAATACTGATTTAGTCATAGACAGCCGTTATGAAATTATCTCAATGACAAAAATATATTATTAGAACATAGAGGCCATATCTCCAAACAACTTCAAAAACTTGAATAGATTCTGAGAATTATAGCTGCAGGAAAGAAAATAGTAGATTCTTTAATGTAATTTCTCTGCATCTTCTCTGGATTACAATTCTTGATGAAAAAACATGAATGACATTGCCATACAATTCCACAATTTGTGCAATGTAGCTAGAAATTTGTGCAATTTGTGCAATTTGTGCAATTTGCAGCTAGAAAAATGTAAGGAATTATATTGATCAATCTATGCCTGTTCTTGAGGAACAGAATTAAAGGGTGGCTCATACATAATTAGGGTTACCAAATGTCCTAAAAAGGATGACTTGTCCTAATGTGCTCCATCTGGCCAGCATAGCATTAAAAGTAAACATTGTCTGGCTTTTTTTAGTATCTACAAACTATCTCTTCCTGAGCAGCTTTTCTCTGCAGCACAACCTTCCCTAAAAAATAGTCATTGCAACTCAATAAGCTCTGACTAAAATTGACCCAACTTTAATCAGTTACATACCAACCCTTTTCTTTCTCCTAACGGACTCTAGAGCATTCTTGACATTCAAAAACCTTTCTGATGCTAGAAAAAAATAATTTCATATTCATGTAGGCCACTGACTTTTTTTTTTTTGTCCCCCATGCCAAGAAAGTTAAATAGTGTGTTCTCCTATGCCCCTTTCTAATTGTCTGTGAGCAATTTGACCTGTTCAGAAATCTGGTAATCCTACAGGTAATGCATGGTGTAAAAATCTACCCATTATAGTTTATGATCTGCAACAAACCATGGTAAAAACCATCTTCAGCAATCCAAAGTAAAAACTACTGTTCTATATTAAAATTATTTATTAGATGTCCACACAGAGGGGGAAATTATCATGTTCTCTGTGGTTGTGTTCCTATGTTGCTAACGGGATTAGAGAGACATTCAACATGCCTACCTTCGACAGAAAAGAATTGCCCAAAGACACCTGGACTCGCTGAGGTTTTGTTCATCACACTGGCGTTAGAAACGAGGCTCCTTGCTAAGGAAGTGTTGCCCCATATTCTCCATCAAGGGGCTGATGAAAAAAGATTTCCTTCTTTCGGCAGGAAGAGGAGGCTCTGTGCATCCGTTTAATTCAGGAGTGGGGAATCTCTTGTTTTCCAAAAGTTGCTAAACTACCCTTCCCAGCATCCTTGGCGATGCTGGTCCGGTTCCAGCAGCAACAGTTAAGAGCCGACAGACAGTTCCTCAGCCACACTTTTAATATTTCAGCAACGGTGGGGGGGGACCGGGAGGAATAAAGGAGTAAACCTTACACAAAAAAAATGGGGGAACTTCCTCTTTGAGGTAGCGCGAGCATTGCAAAAATCATCTTCCAGCAACAGCGCCAAGCCCAAAGAAAGGGACGTTTGAGCCCTCCGCTCGAACGGGCTGTACACATCACAAGGCCGGCCCTGTTTTCCTCCATGTAAATGGACCACAGAGGCAAGGGCGGCACGTGGGCGCTTGTAGGGAGTCTGCAACATATGACTAACTCACCCTTCCCTTCCCAAGGAAATGTATTTACCTGCGGAGTCGCCACCATTTTTTTCGCGGTTCCTCGATTACGAAACCTTGGTGGCAGCAGCAGTAGCAACACCCGGTAACTAAGGGCCGCTCCACCCTAGCAACGCGATTCTCTTTCTGCGCGTGCGCGGAACGCGGCTTAACTGTAAAACTCCGGAGGGGGGACAAAAAGTGAGAGGATTGGTGACATCTGAACCGGGAGTTAGAGACTCGCAGACTTGGAACTGTTTCAGGTGGAATCCTCCACTGTTGGAAAAAAGGGGAGCCATCGCGAGAGGAGCGGGGAAATGCTTTCTTCGTCCCCGCCTTTAGCACGAACAAAGAACAATGAAGAATATTAATTTGAATTTAGAATTTCTATGAATCCTTCTAGCTTATTTACTTGAAAAATCTATAGCTGTTTACGCTTTCTAAGAAAAATGTTCCATAACAAGAGGCAAGAACTGTAAAGTACTGTACAGTAGTGGCCTGATTCCTGTATCCTATCAAAAACACTTTATTTATATTCTGTTGGAAGTCAGCACCCACCCACCCTCCTAGAGAAGGAAATATTTTGAGGGGATATTAAAAAGACAGAATATTATATTTCCCCAAAGGAATAATGAAAAATCTTAGGCAAAGACAACCCCAAGTCTCCCTCCCCCAAGCAGAAACCAAGCAGGCCAGCTTTTAGAAATGTAGATTTGATAATCCTTTCAGAAAGACTGGAGCCAGGAAGCTTGGAGCTGATGGCATTAGAAAGACAAAGATCCCTAGAACCAATAACCCCTCACCCCAAAAAAATCTAACACAGGACATAGCCACAGCCCCAGGGAAGCAGGACATGACCTTTGTGACACAATAGACCTTTTCCAATGAGTCCTCACTTCTCATTTAGTGGCCAAAGTATGTGAGCTTCAGCTTCAGTATTTGTTCTTCCAAAGAACAGTCAGAGTTGCTTTCCTTTAGGATTGACTGATTTGATTTCCTTGCAGTCCAAGGACCTCTCAAGAGTCTTCACTTGAATTCTAGCCAATATTTATAGACTAAAATATTGTCAGCCTTCCCTAATTTAGCACCTTATAGGAGAATTAACCATACTGTGAATTCTACAAGTTCAAATCCTGACGTAACTGATGGATTGATGAAGGCTGATTAAACTATAACATCCCACTATGATAAGACACAGATGTCAGGGCAGAAAAGTTTCTGTTGAAAATTTCATATTGGTTCCCACAGATATATTTTAAAATGGGCATACAAGTAATCCTTGTATAATGACACTAACGAGAACTGGAAACTCCAACATTAAGCAACATGGTCATATATTAAAAATCACATGACTGCACCACTTAGTGATGTCAGTTCCAGCTGCCATCATTAAATGAGGGCAACACAAATCATTAAGCAAGGACTTCAAGACTATGATTTCCTGAAGGTTTCTCCCTTGTCTTTGCTTGTGGGAAACTCTAAGGGAAGGTTGCAGATCGTGATTATGCAACTACGCCCATAACCACAAGGTCAGGTCATTACTACTTGCTCAGTGATGTCACAAGTTTGAATGGTCACTGAACAAGTGGTTGTTTCATTGTTTATTCTACAAACAAATTAGACAAAAGTTATCTTTATATGTGAAATATATACTTTTTATTATGTCTTAAAATTTTATCAGCATAAAGAAGTGAGAGTAGTATGTGTGTGGATCTACTTATGGAGTTTATCAGAAGTGTGTGTTTTTGCCTTCAGCTGATAGTAAGAAATTGGTTTTAGAATGAGCTTGTTATTGTCTTAAAGATTTTAGCTATGCAAGTAGTTATGTTTTGTATGAATTGCTACTCACTTTCTAAAAGATGAAAGAGGAATGCATAACTTGAAATTATTTAATGTGGTACAGAGTGGCTGAAAACAATGTGACATAGATCATTTGTTCTAAATCTAAAGAAATGAGACTACATACTATATTGGCATAACAGCATTGGATGGAAATTGTATCATTCCCTTTTTTATTCATAAAAATCATCTGGTCAACTTTGCCTACGTTTGAAACAATGTACATATTTTTGCCAAATATATATATATATAGTGTGTCCATAAAATTCTACATGGATACTTTATTTTTACCTATTCATTAATACAATTTTGGGCTTAACAGATTTATTCTGACAGTTTTTCTTTATAGGTTCTTAAAAATAATTTGCTTCTTTTGGATCTGTGCTGTTAAGAGGTAGTTATTATCAGAGTTTAACTTTCAAATAAACAGGAACAAATAAGCAAGATTATTAAATATATATATATATATAAACAGAGATCACTGGAGTATTTCCAGGCTAAAGCAAGACGATTTGGAATTCAGTAGATTGTATGATGGGATGGCTTGCTGTTTTCACCAATTACATTTTGTTGCAGTGCATTCAGAACTAAAAAGAAATACCTAAAACCTGACATGAAGCCTGGAGGTGTCAACTGATTTGAGAAGAATGAATAGAATGCCATGCCAATTTCATAGAAGGACTAGCTATGAGGACTGGGGTCAAGGAGAGGTAGTTACAGCTTTTCTGACTTACTCGAAAGATTTCTTCAAGAACATACACAATGAAAAGAAAATTGCAATCAAAAATTCATGAGCCATAAAATCTAGAATAAGAAAATGGATTCAACTAGTTTGAATTGGTAGTGCCCCAAACTTAAAATAAGTGAATACAAAATAATTAGTTGTTTAGAATGTACTAAATCTCTCTTAAACATCTTGCATTTTCTTAGGACCTCATCCATTTGGTAAAAGGCTGTGTCAAATAAAATTATTTTAACTACCGTGATTGGCAATGCTCAGGAAGAGGAACATTCACATTATAAGTCTCTGTATTTCAAAGTTGCAGTTTGGTTCTTTTCCAGTTAGAAGATTAGATTAGTATGTGATGTCTTCCTCTTATTTAAATAATGTTAAATCTAGATTTCTCAAGTCTTGTTTACATGAGATGCTTTAATCTTCATCATTTGGTGCATAAGAAAAACCTAGGAAAGCATTTGTTGCACTGGAACTGCTGGTAGCTAAATCAGGAGTTTGGATGATGGAATTGGGAACAGTTTCCTGAGTGAATTCTGGATCAAAATGTCGTAGATCAGCTGGCCCAGCCTTTAAAAAAAAACAATTATTTGTTTAAGTTTCAAGCAATAACAACAGTAAAGTAAACAGTCATTCTTAAAGCCAGAGGTTATAGAATGAGAGAAACCCAGCACGTTTTGGGATTATGCTGAATCCTACCAGTCCATTCAACTTTGAAATGCTGTTCTCCCTTATAGCGAGTTGAGTTTATGTTAGATTATATTAGGTTTTGTTTTTTGTTTTTTACATAAAACACTTTGAAGTCAATCATTACATATTATGTTTCTGAGATAAAGTGAGAGAAAGTCCCTGGGTTATTTGTCCCCAATGATTTTCCATTCACTGTTGGAGGATAAAGGGATAAAGGAAAGGAAGCTATTTATTTGTTCTATTTACTTATTAAGAAAATTTATATGACTGCCCAACTCACAGGAGTGCAGCTTACAGGAATTAAAAGATTACTATTTGTTTTATTCTACTATTAAGTACATTTTTTCTGAAACATACATTTAACACTATGTATAATTAGATTTTTAATTAGTTCTAATAGGCAAAAAGAGTAAATTGTGATTTCTTCAAGCCATCCTTTACCGTGCAACAATTTCCAATTTTGTTTCCAGGCAAATTGCAGTATCCCAAGACAAAATGCAAACCATGTGAATTGGCTCAATATTTCACATGTCAGGAAAGTCCACAACAAATTATAAAATGTAGATCCATAAACCTTGAAAAGCACCCAGAATGGTTAGCTTTTTCTAATATTTCTTCACAATTTCACAAAGATTGTCTACAGCATAATAAACCACTTACCACATTAGGATCAAAGGGAGGAGTGATCTTCTTACTATACAAATCATCCCAGTTTATTGGAGCGAAGAACATATGGTTCTTTATTTCAAGCTGCAAAAAGTAAAATAAAGCTGAGCAGCTATTTGCCAGAAGGATTTCCAAAACTGTATTGTGCACATGTTTATCTATACCTAGTCGCAGTGAATCATTGATCTAAATTTACATACTCTAAACGGTTTCCTAAAATACCGTTGCTAATTGTAAAGATAAACAATTGTAAACAATTGTAAATTGTTATACAGAGGCTAATTGTGCTCAGAGTGTACACAATTAAACCCTGGTATGAGCTCAGGCTCAAACCCACTCAGTAACAATAAGGGCAAGCTGCCAGTGTTCCTTTGCTCTTATTGAACCTGCAAAATGGTTGAACACGTGGCTGCCCCAATGTGGGCACATTGCTGCTCTTATTGCTCTTAAGTTCAAACCTCAGCTCATATCAGTGCCCAGTTGTGTTTACGTTCAATTATATATCATTTGTAGTATTTTTTTCCAATTACTTTTATCTCCCATAGGTTATCAAAAAAACAAACAGGTCACTAGAGAAACCACAGAAGTGCCCTCTCACCAAGTATTCTGTTTCTGTATTGCAAAGATTTATGAAGCAAAAGCACAATGCTTCCAAATTGTGGGGGAAATCCCCAGTCAATCCCAAATCCCCATCCCTCTGGTAACTCTCAGATTCTATCAGGCTCCTAGGAAGTTCCTTGCTTTTGCAGGGGTCCAGGA